TTCTGACTAGCACTCTCCTGTGAGCTGGTAATATTGAGCTGCATGTTCATTTGGTAATGTAAGCATATATTGCATTATTTTAGCACAGCCAGAATGTTATTGCAAAATAAACACAATGCTTTCCCATCTAATTCAATAACAAAAAAATCCACGCTTCATTGTACCTTAAAAGTGTGACATTCAAAATTCATTTTCTTTTCTTGTTTTGTCTTAATAGGCATGGACTGATATTAAATAGTAAATAAAGTATGCTGTATAGCAGTACATGTGACACCCAAAGTGCTGTTGAGTTATAACTGTGTCACTCTGATCTGTAATGCACCAGGTAGCAGTGCAAAGTGATGAGAATGCATACATGGCCGCTGTCACAAGTGCTCAACTATACACAACTGGTAAATAAACGAACAAGTGAAGATGTGTTTCAATAAAACTTTATTTATGGGCAGATATTAAAATTTATATAATTTTTTTACGTTTCACAACATATACTTCTTCTTTTGATTTTTTTAAACCACTTAAAAACATAAACAGCATTCTTAGCTCACAGACTGCATAAAAATAAGTTGCAAGCTGGATTTAGCCCACAGGTGGTAGTTTGCTAACTCATATCCCACAAAAGATACAAGCAAATCACTTTTCCACATAGAAAATTACCACCATTCAATTAATGTATCTCGTTTACATCCCACTGTAAAAGCTAAACTCACGATTACTTTAAATTTTTAAAAAATGCACTGGAAAACATGAGGCCTAAGGTTGGATTTCAGTTTAGAATACAAGACTAGAATTCAAATAATTTCTATTGATGGATAGTAACAATTTATAATACATTTAAAACACTTAAACACTTTATTTCAGAACTCCATAGACCTGAATTTTTTATTTTGATAAACTAAAATTATTTAATTAGATACTGATACATTAGAATATTTGCATATATAATCATAATAAACAGATGATTAAAAATCAAAGAATAGTATCTCCTCCAGCATTTGACAAAGAAAGATCCAGAAAAGAAGCCAATGGTGTAAGGTTGTTTGGAGGGGAAGGGGAAAGGCTGCAGAAAACAGAGACAAAGGGAGCAACGTCAGGCTCAAGGCTGAAGGTTATCGACCTAAGTGCCTGTGTGGTGGGAAATACACATTCTCAGGTGTCCAGTGTCAGAAATTATGAGTAGCCCTCTATCACAAAGGTGATCTACCAAGCAAAAAATTTCCTATACATATAAAATAAATAATCCAACAAATAATTGCATTTAACACTTCTATATACATATGCAATGTTTATAAATATAGTTGACAGATAATTTTAGAATATGATGAAATGCTTAGTGACTTATATTTAGATGGGTAAATGCAATAACTTTGTGACTTACTATTATATCATTAGAATTCCATGAGGTCTGGAAAGGGGCTGGCAGCAACATTATATAATCTTGTTTTGAATACAGATACTAGTTGTATAATAATCTCAGAAACTTCTACATTTATTTGAGAAAACTCTACATGATACAATAAAGAGAAAGCAAGAATATAAATTATTAAATTTATGAGTAAGTTTCTGCTAATTAAAATCATTTTATGTTACTTTTAAGAATCTGGAAAAAGAAAAAAAATAAAAGGTGTCTCTTCAGGACTAGGAAAGTGAAAGAGATAACCTTAGGAAAAGGACATTTATTTAAATTCCAAGTCAAGACTGGCTCAGAAGCATAACAGAAAAACAGTTAAAAGTCAAGACGAATTCTACTTAGTCTATTGTAAAAATGCTAGTTTCCCCCAATAATTCTACACAATTTGAGGAATATATTCATTAGCAACACTTAACAAAAAGACATTCTTTAAATACAAAAGACAGGTATTCAAGTAAGTAGTAGTCCTTACTCATTTTGGGCCAGGAAGCCCTCTAAAAATTTTCAGAGACTTCCCCCAGAAGGTAATATACACAGTTCTACAAACAATTTTAATGGGCTTATGGCAGTTTTCAATCCTGTCTGCACATTAAAATCAAGTGGAAAGTTTACCATAAATTCTAATGCCCTATCTTACCCTCAGAAAATCTGATTTAGTTGCTTTAGGTTGGGTCCCACACATCACCATTTTTTACAGCTCCCTAAGTGATCCTGATATGAAGCCAGATACGAGGCCGATTATTCAGAAACTCCCTGAAGTCTCTCCATAAAACGGTCTTCATTCACTCACTCACTCAAGATGTTAATTAAGCATTCACCACATCTGACATCTAGCCAAGATTCTGAAGAGTCCAAGAGAAATGTGGTCCAATTTTCTCTCTTTCATAGTCACTACTGATCAGAAGTCTGGCAGATTGCCAGTATGACTCCTATGTATAGAAAAATTCTCCAGAAGTCACAAATTAATGATTCTCACTTCTAAACTAATGTAACCTTTCACAATGGACAGGGTCATTGACCTCTTAAACAAACATAAAGGAATGAAAAAAAGGAAAATGTTCCTTTTGTTTTACTGAATATCATTCAATATTAATGCATTAGAGCTCTTAAATGGGTTAAGAAAAAATGCAGAGTAGAGGGAAGCACAGACCATAAAATATTAGCATTTTTAAACAGCTTTTGAGACTGTGCTACTCTAAAACTATTTAACACCATGTGATTCAGGAACAAATACTTAGTAAAAGGAAATGACAAAATGGAAAAATAAGTACCTAAATTCTGGAGAGAGTCATGCTAAAAAAAAATGTAAAGAGATGAGAAATAAAACCACATTTATTTAACATTATTATAAATATTAGCCCCAACATGCTTCTTCCCTACTTACCACATTCATTCACCACCATTTCAAGACATAATCTATATATATACAAACATACAGGGTGGGGCAAAAGTAGGTTTATAGTTGTGAGTATTCCCAACAGTTTATTCTTGAATTATTACTGACTCATTACTGTATTAGTTTCCATACAAATAACTGTAAACCTCCTTTTACTCCATCCTGGGTGTGCATGTGTATGTGTATATATATGGAATTACTTTAGATTATCCTGACACTCCCAACAGACACATTGAATAACTTATTCTTGTCATAAAATTCTTGAGGAAAACCTAATGTTAAACTCATATCCTGAATTTAGAAGCTATTCAATGAAATGTCGCTGAAGCTTTGCTTCTGTAAGATGTGATCAAGTAAATATTCTATCGCATTATCAAAGATTTATCATCTTTAGTTTATTACATTTTAGTTGTTTTATCATAATTAAAAATAATGATTTATGAGCATAATTAGTCTTGCTCTCATTATACCCTGAAAAGCAATAAAAAAAATTCTTCTTTGGTTATAAAATCTTTTCTTTTACTTAAGCTTATAATAGGTAGCTATTTTTAAGTTTACCACATTACACTCCGATATTTATATGCTTGTTCTTTCTTGGTGTTTATTAAAATAAATTGATCAATTTTAGTGTAAACTCCTTGAAATCATTAACCCCTGCAAACTTAAATACACAGTAAATATATTTTTGATGAATAAATTATTTGGGAGCAATAAAATAATTTTTAAAAACAGGAGTAATTTATATCATATTCCTTCACCAAGCAGCACGAGAATTAAGAAATGGAACTTGTCACTGCACAAGAATTCACAAACTCTACAGTCCATTTTGTGCCAGGCATTCAATCCTATTGCCTGGAGCAGAGTTTCTCCACTTCAACACTACTGACATTTTTCACCAGGTAATTCTTTGTTGTAGGAGGCTGTCCTGTTACTGCAGGATGTCCATGGCTTCTACTCACTAGAGACCAGTAACACTTTTCCACCTCATAAACAAAAACGTCTTCAGATATTGTCAAATTTCCTCAGGGGACAAAATTCACCCAGGCTGAGAACTGCTGGTTTAGAGACAAGTGAAAATATAACAGTACATCCAAAGTGAAGCTACTGCGAAGTGCTTCAAAGTTTGAGGAACAGCTTCATGAATCCCAATATGGTTGCCAGGGAAAACCTTCTAATAGCAGGGTACTCCCATGCATCCATTCCTCTCATCCACAGTCAATCTACCATAATTATTAAGACTTCATCTTCTATAGGTGATTCAACAAGCATTGGTTAGTTTTCTCAATCCCATCAGGCCAACTTTTTAAAGATGTCTTACCCCTTTCCAAGAGCTAGTCCCAGAATCCTACCATTCAGTTACTTATCTATACTAGTTCCTGAACAATAGAAAGGAGATTAGGTTTATTAGATGGGACTTTTGGCTGAACTCTTTTCAAGTAAACTTCCAACAGGTCCAATAATATAACATGCTTCATATTAAAGAGAAAATGAGTGAATAATCATTTCTAGTTGTGGTTCTGACACAGAAACAAGCACATACAGTGCTTATTAATAAATTTAAGTTTCTTGAAAAAAATCAAGAGACAAGTTAAATGTTTAAAAGTAGAATGGCTCAATTATATTTTCCAAATTTAAAAATGTACTATTCATAGGCTTTAATACTTTAAAAGGACTAAAAATACACATTAAGATTTCTCGAAACTACTTTAAAATTGTATGAAATAGCAATAATAAAGTGAAGAAGGAATTCATTTGCTAGCCTATAGTAGAAGACATCTCTGCTTTAAAATAACTCAATTACGAGTCAAATTTTTATACTAAACACTGCTGACATCTACCAGTCTCTTACCACCAATAGTCTCCTCATTTCCAAAATGGTTCTGCCAATAAGTTTTGAGGATGAAAAGGGTTTAAAAAATAAATTTTGAAAAGAATAAAGCATTGTCCCAATATAAAGTATTAATAATAACTGAATTAATATATCGCACAGAATTTTGATTTTCAAAATTACCAAAATTAATTAGTGGATAATGAGTAAAAGTTAACATGGTTCTTGAAACATTTCATTCTGATCAAAAAACTTATTATTTTTCATTACTTGTAAAAAATAAAAATTGGGATACAAAATCCCAGAATGTACAGAATATATTATAATAATGCTAATATTTAAACTGTTCGGGCTTTCCAAATACTTACATTACTTGTAAACTTTCTGCTGTTAAATTATTCCACATAATCTCATTTGCCTGAAGATTTTCATTTTCTTCTAGTAAGGAAGTATCAAACTCAATTTCTTGCTCTTTAGCAGCTGAAGTTCTAGTGAAGCATGCCAAATAATTTTGATCAATATGAATATCCAATCATAATTTATCTTAGTATACCAAAGGCATAACATTTTTTCTCATCAAAAATTATAATAACAAAGTAAACTTAAATAAAATAAATAAAATTAAACCCTTGGCATCAAAGATCTAGTCATGTAATTTTAGCCTTAATTTCCTCTTTTATAGAATGTGGATATTAACTAGTTTTATTCCTGACACGATGGTAATGAATATAAAATAAGATGAATGTATGGAAAAGTAACTGGTATATTATAAAGCTTAATATACAAAGTCAGAGTACTATTATTATAGAAATGTTAAAAATGTAATTTCATGGATTAAATATGGGCTTAAGAAATGATGTAGTGACAACTAACAAATTTTTAAAGATTACAATATAAATAGTTATTTTCATGGAGAAAGGACTTTGAAAATACCATAATTTGCCATTTATATACATTTATATACATTTATATACACTTATTGCCCAAATTTTTGAGGGAAAAATTAAGGATGTGCATTACATATGGGTAGTACTATCTCTATATCTAGATAAATGTTTCTAATTCGTTTATTTATGCTTATATATTAAAAGTATAATTCTAGAAAGCCATGATATCTGTGTGAAAAATAATACCCTTGAATAAAATAATCAGTTTTGTTTCTAAATGTTAATTAATTAACTAGTTAATTAATTAAAAATTTAAAATGAAAGTTTTTTCCTAAAAATTTGGACAAAAAATGTGGGTGCACATTATACATGGCAAAATATGGTAATTAAAAGCAGACAAATTAATCTGAAATATCTAATGTCCTAACATCAGTTCACTATTTCTTATTTAATTTGCTTATATATTATATGATAGAAAAAATAACACTATAAACAATACTCAAAGAAGAATGAAAACATACATACCTGTGAACATCTATAAAATTATTGTATTCTGTGCTAGGGTCTATCTGCTCAACCGACATTTGAATCTCTTTATGGACATTTACTATTTCCTCAGTAACAAGACTAGTTATCTGGCTGTATTCATCAAATATGCCTTTTCTGAAAACAAAAATAAAATTTTACAACATTTTTAAGTTGATAAACAAAAACAAAGAGCCAAAAGGAATTCACAACAATACACATAAGAAATGTAATAACAATATTTACAAATGGTGGTTTACGTACCACCTTTTTTCATATACTTGGATAGTAAAGGAATCACACAAATATACAAATTAGCAACTTACATTTGATAAAGTAAAATATCTGCAAATTATCTAGGATAAGGCATTACCATTTCCAATCTGTATTTGAGATGTCTAAATGTAATAAGGTCAGTGTTGATCACTTTCTATTTCTCAGTACTATGATAGAAATTTTGGATTTTATAACACGGAACTATGGACCCACAATGGTCTCTTGAATGTTTCTTTCTAGAATCTGTTATTTCCACACAAGCCCTCCCATTTAGTTCTTCTCTTGCTCCTGGGCCTCAACTCTTCGACCTTCAATAACATCTAGATCTCTTCTCCTGGCCTCCAGTCAACAGCAAAAATGTCATAATTTATTTGGTGTTACCTAATAAATGCAAAAGGAAAAACTATTCTGTCATAAAGACTTGATCGCTACTTAAGAATGCTATACCATTAGTCATTACTGGCCCTCAACAATGTGTGGACGGACAAGCTTATCCTGCGTATGTCCAAATAAATATAAGGCATTGTTTGTTTTTCTTTCCCAAAACCATTACAAAATTTCTCTTATTATGAACTATATTCTCAGTCACTTAATTTTAAATAGCAAAATAATGTTTGGGTAAAAAAACTAGATTTAAACTTCTTTAAGCAATGCTAGTTTGGAATGATTATAGAAATCACCAGACACAATTTTTTAAAAGCGGGGAGGGCAGAGATATTTAATGAGGATTTAGTAAATATTATTGGGGCTATGGCCTAATAATTCAAAGTACTAAATAATAGAAATGTAAATAAGCCTGTCTAGGTAATTCTAATAAAGCAATATAGTAAGTCATTATGATGGGATGATTAATAATTACCTTTAAGACACACAGTGGGGGGACAAAGTCTCCCAATGTTGTATGAATGAATACCTGTGACATGGGATTCAATTTCACTGATATTTCCATGCTTGAAGTTTTTAAATGCTAGTTGTGAAACAATTTAATAAAAATAAAAATAATACGCTGTGGGAAATCATTATATATTTCAAAAATATTCTAGTGACATTGATGATACTATTACTGAAGATTTGTATGAAGAGTTTCTAAAATATTGACTTATTAAATGAGAATAGAAAGTAAATATTTCTGAATCAACATAATTTAAAGTAGATATGATTGAATTTTCAAGTTAAATATTTTAAGTGGGCATTTCATTATTTTTATCAACAACCTTAAAAGTTTACATATTTAAGTTGACTACAAACACTTCATTTATCTTCCAGTGGGAAAAATGGATGACCATCTAAACCAGCTAATAAGGGAAATGAAGTCTACCAAAGGGTGGCATATCTTTTCCTATTGTCCTGAATCGATACGTATGGTATACATGTGCATTTAACCAAGTATACTGTTATTGGCTCCTTGAAGGCAACAATTGTGGCCTACTCATTTCCATATTCAATATGCTTTATATGCAGTAGAATTTTAATAAATATTTGTTGATTTTAATCTCATTCTACAAGAAGATGGAAGATAAACTTCAAAATATTCTTTCCTTCAGGTTGTTTTGCTGCTCAAAACTTAAACACCCAATCCTGTGGAGACAGACATCCACTTAACACTTGTCAACTAATCAATTTTTTTCATATAAATTTCCAGCTAATTGAAGAAAAAAAAAAAAGAGGGGCAATTCTTGGCTGGAAGATTTAGGAAAAGTCTTAAATTTAAAAAAATAACAAAATTTTTAAATAAGCCTTTAAAAAAAGACCTCCCTAAAGCCTGAAAAGATTTGGGAAAATTAAGCATAAACTGAAGGGACACCAGAACTAAAAATGAAGAAGAATCAAGGTAAAAGAGGTCTGAAACACCCATTGGTCTGGGTCAATAAGAAAAATCACTTTATGATGGGATTTTATATCAAATATGAAATGTGACTTACAGTGCTTTTATCATTTCTTCCTGCATCTTCTGTAGGGAGTCCAGAAGCAGAGGAAGTGTGGTGTCATAATACTGACTCTGATGAAGCTGTGCCCCTTTCAATGCCAATACATATTGATTATGCAACATATGAAGTTTCATTGTGGCTTTGTCGTAACGTTCCTTGGCCTTTTCAGTTTCTTTCCCTGAAGAAATCATTGACATTATAAATGAGATAATAAAAAAGTTTTATTGTCTCTGTATGCAAACTGAGTCACCACTATTTTATGTTATTTTCACACATTTTATGGATAATCAAAAGTTATTGAACATATACTATGTACTTAGCTCTATGCAAAGTACTATTTCTTTTTTCTTCTTTTTCAGTAGATCCTGCTTACCATGTTCATAGAACTGAAAAAACAGTTTAATGCTTTACTCATACTTTACACTGAGCTGCTCTGAAGGAGGCACGCATTACAGTAAATGTTTAGTGAATGAAGAATAACATAGTTTTTTTATAAAATTGTACAGCTACATGACCCTTCTCATGTCCAAGCAGCTTATGCGAAATTGAAACAGCAGTGCATATAAAGTTATACTACCAATAAAACAAGAACATTTGTAAATAATGTTAAATTTTAAAATCTGTGTTTGAGATATCAACAAAAACAAGGGAAGTCAGACAACACTTTGCAGAGAAAACAGACCTTAAGAGATGAGGCAAGTCTGAAGGTATAAGAAAGACAGAAGAGATGATAGTTCTCCCCTCTCACCCTCTTTTCCTCCCTTTCTTCTTTCCTTTCATTCAATGAATATTATTAATTGATTACCACCAGGAATTCTGTTGAACACTGGGAATTCAGTATTTGGCAAAGCAGAGTCCTTGATTTTAAGGTCTGGTGATTTGGACTACTGAGTGAAAACATAGAAAGAATAAGCAATGATACACAGGCAAGGAGATAAACTCAAAGAAAGCAAATTTTGAGAAAGTGAAGAAAACATGTCCACATAAGCAGGGCAATTTTAGGTAGTAAATGGCATGAAAATTAATCAGAGATATTTAGACAAGATGTGGGACAAGTCTAGGAGATAATGATAATATCACGAACTACAACTTTTTGTGGTTCCTTTACTAAAATCATTCAGAAAATATTCACAGATTAATAATATAAATAAATGACTATATAAATAAATATAATTTTCAAGTAGATGTTTAATTGTGATGTAAACTAAACAAGAATTTCTTCCCAATTATTTATATTTAGGGAGTAAATTTTTGAAAATATTAACTTTTGCCCTCTTTCCAAGGAGAGTCCTCCAAGTGAATCCTCTCCCCAAAATAAATCTTAGGTTGAGAATTTCTGACACCAGAGGCTCTCCTTTGCTGCCATTCTGTTTAGGCTCAGCACATGAGTATTCATTATGGATGGGTATCAGAAAAAACATTCCCCAGGGCCAAAAGCAGAGAAAAAAAAAATCAGTTTTTGCAGAGAGAGACCTCAGACCCTTAAACCATGCCCAGGCAGAACAACAGAAGAAATCCCTTGATTTTCTCATCACCCCTTTAATTCTGAGGTACAGTAACTACAATCAGCTGGTAAAAAAAAAGAAGCAAACCTGTCTAGCACACTGGTATGTCTCTACTACCAACAAATCTAGTGCTTCCAAGTACCAGAAACATCACTCACTTCTCCCAGGGAGCTGCACACAATTATTTTACAGATCATAAATCTCTAGCAATACTCCATTAGCAGGTTTCTTATACCTGGTGATATTAATAATTGTTCAAGTTATTCACAAAATGTTGCCCTAGATATCCTATTTAACTTTATAAAAGTATCTTTCCTAACCCCTCTCACTACTGAATGGAACGAAGTTCTAATACTAGGTAGGGGAATAGGGGCAAATATACTAATTCGGTTCTATATGAAGGAATCAGAAAAAAAATCATTAGGCACTAAAGAAAGGAGTTTTCTCACTTTCTAACTACAACTGACTCGAGAATAATATATTTGGATGATATATTTTATTTCATTAACCAGTAATCATACAAATTTTTAAGTACATAATGGAAAGAAAAATTCATGAAATAATTCTTCCCCTTATATAAAGAATGCTCTGAGATTTTTTCAAAATTCTATTATATATTAATTTTGAATTTTTTAATGTTCATTCTAAAACCAACATGTTTTTGCCTCAGTTAATATAAATCACCAGAGACATTTTATCTAGCTCTAAATGACAGTCATGATTTTTTAATTTAGCAATTAATAAACCACTTCAATAATATTAATTACAAGTGACTTTTAATGCTCTCATGAATACCTCCCCCTACTATTCAGTTAGTATAAGAAACTAGTCCTTTGGCTAGGAGCTAAGTCACATTAATGCCTGAGAAAGAGTGAAAGTCCCTACACACCTACTGCAGAAGCTACCAAAGTCCTTACTAAGGCCCTTTTAGGTGTTTTTGGTTTTGGTGGGGGGTTTTTTGGATTTACCATTTCTAAGTTACTTTAAGTTTCTGTTACTTGAAATTTGACAAATTCTGACAACAGCCAGTCCAAAAGATCATTTTCCTAATGCATATAAATTGATTCCAAATAATGAAAAGTTTTCTAGAGTCCAAATGTTCACAGTAAGACAATAAAGAGAGCATATACCAGGCAAAAATATTTCAATATTGTGTTATAATTTCTTAAACTTTTTTACAAGTGTAAAAGTATAACTAGTGAATTCAGTGAATTCCATAGTTTGTTACTTTTTGAAATGTTACTTTTCATATAAACTCTATTATTTGTAATTATTAATTGGATTTTTTTTAGTATATAACTTTAGGAGTCACACTCTCCACAGGAACATTTTCATGAGGACGTTTAAAACATTTAAATCACCCATCTGTCCTCCTATTTACACAGATTTTTAAGCTGCACACTACCCATCTGTCTTTCTAGGTGGTGCAGAATGATTCACTAATATGTAATACTCATCTCATTAAGATTTTATAATCCAAAATAACATTATAAAAGTTAAGAAGTTTCAAGATACTTTTTTATCAGATATGGTGTATGACAAATAAGCTGAAGAAGGCTGTTATAGCCAAATCTAATTATCAGTGGTCATTAGCACAATTTGGAAAAAAAATTAAATACCTCTGAAAACATCCAAGGCAGCTTCCATTACATTAAGTTAGTGATAATAAATTATTTAAAAACAGCATTGAACTTAAGACTGAATTTGGGGTATGTTTTCATAGGGATTTGGCAGTTTTTGTACTCTACAGCTCACATACTCTTGTGCACTTGGTTATAAGGTCTACTTGGTACACTCTCACGATCAATTACCCTGTCACTCTTCCTCTCTTGCAGGAGAAAAAAAAGTTTCAAAACCATGTTCGGTTGGTAAAATTTGAAAAAAAATTCTATTGTACTTTTTCATGATTTGTTTTAAATTAAATATTTAGGGTTCCATTGAGACTATAAGAAAATTCAAGAAATACTAATACTATGTGAAAATCGAAAGTATGAATAGAACTAAAAATTCCATCCATTTAACAAAATGTATTACCACAAAGCTACCTAATATGATGATTTTTTTAATTATTTAATTTTTTATTCTTGTTTATTACTTCTACTACAGTTGTCTCGATTATTCCCCTTTGACCTCCTCCTCCCAGCCCACTGTCAACTCCCATAGTCAATCTCCATATTGTTGTCCATGTCCATGGATCATTTATACATGTTCTTTCACTCATCTCTTCCCCTTATTCCCACCATTCCCCACTCCCCTCTGGCAGCTATCAGTCTGTTCCAGGTTTCCATGTTTCTCATTCTGTTTTGCTCATTAGTTCATTTTGTTCACTTGATGTCACATAGAAGTGAGATCGTACAGTATTTGTCATTCACTGACTGGCTTATTTCACTTAACATAATAGCCTCCGCTTCCATCATGCTGTTGCAAAAGGTAGGATTCCTTCTTCTTTATTTCTGCTGCATAGCATTCCATTGGGTAAATGTACCACATTTAGAAATTTTTTTTTTACTTTAATTGTTGTTCAAGTACAGTTTTCTGCCTTTTACTTCCACCCCAGCCCACCTTCCACGCCCTGCGCACCTCCCTGCCATTTCCACACCCACCTTGTTTTTGTCCATGTGTCCTTCATACTTGTTCCTATGACCCCTTCCCCTTTCCCCCTGAAATTCCCTCCTCTGTCCCCTCTGGTCATTGTCAGCCTGTTCTCTATTTCAGTGTCTTTGGTTATATTTTGCTTGTTTGTCTGTTTTCATGATTAGATTCCTGTTAAAGGTGAGATCATATGGTTTTTGTCTTTTACCATCTGGCTCACTTCACTTAGCATAATGCTTTCCAGTTTCAACCATGCTGTGGCAAAGGGTAGGAGCTCCTTCTTTCTCTCTGCTGCATAGAATTCCATTGTGTATACGTACCATAATTTTTTGATCTATTCATTTACTGATGGGCACCTAGGTTGCTTCCAACTCTTGGCTATTGTAAATTGTGCTGCTATGAATATTGAGGTGCACAGGTTCTTTTGGATTGGTGTTTCAGGGTTCTTAGGATATAATCCTAGCAACGGAATCACTGGGTCAAAGGCAGTTCCATTTTTAATTTTTTGAGGAAATTACATACTGTTTTCCATAGTGGCTGCACCGGTCTGCATTCCCACCAAAAAATGTACTAAGGTTCCTTTTTCTCCATAACCTCTCATGCACTTGTTGTTTGTTGATTTGTTAATGATGGCCATACTGACCAGTGTGAAGTGGTATCTCATTGTGGTTTTAATTTGCATCTCTCTGATAGCTAGCGATACTGAGCATCTTTTCATGTGTACTCATCTTTCCATATATATATATTCTGTATATCCTCCTTGGAGAAGTGTCTGTTCAGGTACTATGCCCATTTTTTAATTAGTTTATTTGATTTTCTGGTGTTGAGTCATATGAGTTCTTTATATATTTTGGAGATTAAACCCTTGTCCAATGTATCATTGGTGAATATTTCACCCCATAGAGTCAGTTCCCTTTTCATTTTGATAATGGTTTCCTTAGCCATGCAGAAGCTTTTTAATTTGATGTAGTCTCATTTGTTTTTTTTACTTTTTATTTTTTTAAATATATTTCATTGATTATGCCATTACAGTTGTTCTATTTCCCCCCTTCATTCCCCTCCACCCTGCACACCCCCTCCC